TCCCATCCCCTCCACCACCAGGTCACTTGTAATGTCCCTTTCTTTTTTTTTTTTTTTTTTTTTTTTGGTTAGTTCCATCTTGTCTCTCTCTCTCTCTCTTTTTTTTATTTTTTTTTTTGGTCAGTCTAGCTAAAGTGATGTCTTAACAACCTGAAGTAAACAGAGTCCACTGTAGCCACCCTGCCTAATGACCATTCTATGTCTGAAATCTGTCCTTATGCTTAAACTACACATGAACAGTTTCTTTGCCAGCTCTATCTATAAGTAGGCTAAGAGGGACTAAGTCTTATTTAACAGATCCCAGCCTGGATCACATACCTCCACTGACTGTGTCCTGGGCTTCAGTTCGTGCTAAAAAACACCCTACTCCAAAGTTTCAAATGCTATATTATGTCCTGTTTTTTTTTTGTTGTTGTTGTTGTTTTTTTCACATTAGTCACTAGATATTAAATAACCTAACAAGGACTTGAAGTTAACCCCTTTTGCTGTCTGTTTTCCTTGTCCATGAACCACCTCCACATCTCCCATGCAGAGAACCAATTTTCTCGTCTTAGTCACTTTGCCAAGTTATAAGCCAAGTTAGATCTAATTCAGTCCTTGTTAGTTATTTCTCCAGTCAGTTAGAATTTTTTGGTACTGGTAACCAGTCGCTGAAATGAATATATGATACATCAAGATTTAGGAGCTCTGGTGACATAGTGCCTAAGGCATTTGCTAACCAGAAGGCTAGCAGTTCAAACCCACCAGCCACTCCTTGGAAGGAAGACTGGGTGATCTACTTCCATAGAGATATCGCCTCAGACACCCAAGGAGGGGGTCACTATGAGTCAGAGTCGACTCAATGGCAATGAGTTTGGTTTTTTGGTTTACCTCAAGATGTATCACATTCATCATCACAAAGAATGTTTCAAGATCTATCCTGAAGTACAATGCTGTCAGTGATAGGATAATATCTATACATCTACAAGCAAGATCAGATAATACTACTAATATTCAAATTTATGCACCAACTAAAGCCAAAGATGAGGAAACTGAAGATTTTTACCAACTTCTACAGTCTGAAATTGACCAAACATGCAATCGTGATGTATTGATCATTATTGGTGAATGAAATGTTGAAGTTGGAAACAAAGGAGAATCACCAGTAGTTGGAAAATATGGCCTTAGTGACAGAAATTACTCTGGAGATCTCATGACAGAATTTTGCAAGACCAAGCACTTATTCATTGCAAATACCTTTTTTCAACAACATAAACAGTGGCTACACATATGGACTTTGCCAGACTGAATATATAGGGCTACAATTGTGGAAAGTGGTGATGAAGAAGCTCAATATATGTTCAACCAATACAAGGCCAGGAGCCGACTGTGGAACAGACTACCAATTGCTCAGATACAAGTTCAAATTGAAGCTGAAGAAAATTAAAAGAAGTCCATGAGAGCCAAAATATGACATTGACTATATCCCACCTGAATTTAGAGACCATCTGAAGAACATATTTGACACACTGAACACCAATGACTGAAAGCCAGACAAGTTGTGGGATGACATCAAGAACATCATCCATGAAGAGAGCAAAAGGTCATTAAAAAGACATGAAAGGAAAAAAAGACCAAAATTGATGTCAGAAGAGACTCTGAAACTTGCTCTTGAATAGAGAGTAGCTAAAGCAAATGGAAGAAATGACAAGATTAAAGCTGAACAAAAGATTTCAAAGAGCAGTTCAAGAAGACAAAGTCAATTATTATAAGGAAACGTGCAAAGATCTGGTGTAGGAAAACCAAAGGGAAGAACACTCTCATCATTTCTCAAGCTGAAAGAACTGAAAATAAATTCAAGCCCTGAGCTGCAATATTGAAAGATTCTATGGGCAAAATATTGAATGATGTAAGAAACATCAAAAGAAGATGAAAAGAATACACAGAGTCACTGTACCAAAAAGAACTGGTTGATGCACAACTATTTCAGGTAGTGGCATATGATCAAGAACCAATGGTACTGAAGGAAGAAGTCAAAGCTACACTGAAGGAATTGGCAAAAAACAAGGCTCTAGGAATTGATGGAATACATATAGAGATGTTTCAACAAACACATAGTGTGCTGGAGGCACTCCCTCAGCTATGCCAAGTAAACTTGAAGACAGCTACCTGGCCAACTAAATGGAAAACGTCCATATCTGTACCCATTCCAAAGAAAGGTGATCTAACAGACTGTGGAAATTATCAAACAATATCATTAATATCTCATGCAAGTAAAATTTCCTAAAAATAATTCAAAAATGTTTGTAGCAGTATATTGACAGCAAACTTCCAGAAATGCAAGCTGGATTCAGAAAAGGACATGGAATGAGGGGTATCAATGCTGATGTCAGATGAATCCTGGCTGAAATTAAAGAATACCAGAAAGGTGTTTACTTGTGTTTTATTGACTACGCAGAGGCATTCAACTGTGTAGATCATAACAAATTATGGATAACATTGAGGAGAAAAGAAATTCCAGAACACTTAATTATGCTCATGAGGAACCTGTTCACAGACCAAGAGGCTGTTGTTCCAACAGAACAAGGGGATACTATATGGTTTAAAGTCAGAAAAGGCGCATGTCAGGGTTGGATCCTTTCACCATACTTATTCAATCTGTATGCTGAACAAATAACCCAGAAGCTGGACTATATGAAGAAAAATGCAGCATCAGGATTGGAGGAAGGCTCATTAACAACCCATGATATGCAGACAATACAACCTTGCTTGCTGAAAGTGATGACTTGAAGCACTTACTGATGAAGATTAAAGACTACAGTCTGCAGTATGGATCACACTTCAACATAAAGAAAGCAAAAATCCTCACAACTGGACTCATAAGCAACATCACAATAAATGGAGAAAAGAAAATTATGTTATCAAAGATTCCATGTTACTTGAATTCACAATCAACAGCAAAGGAAGTAGCTGTCAAGTAATCAGACATCGTATTGCACTGGGCAAATCTGGTGCAAAAGACCTCTTTAAAATGTTGAAGAGCAAAGATGTCACTTTGAAGACTAAAGTATGCCTGACCCAAGCCATGGTGTTTTTCAGTTGCCTCATATGCTTATAAAAGCTGGACAATGAATATGGAACACAAAGAAGAGTTGAAGCTTATGAGTTGTGGTGTTGGCAAAGAATAATGAAAGTACATTGGACTGCCAGAAGAACTGACAAATATGTCCTGGAAGAAGTGTAGCCAGAATGCTTCTTGCAAACAAGAATGGCCAGACTTTGTCTCACCTACTTTGGTCATGTTGTCAGAAAGGATCATTCCCTGCAGAAGTATATTGTTCTGAGTAAAGTGGAGGGTCAGTGAAAAAGGGGAAGACCCTCAACGAGACTGATTGACCCAGTGGCTGCAATGATGGGCTCAAGGATAGCAAGGATTGTGAGGTGGCGCAATGTTTTGTTCTGTAGTACACAGGGTCTTTATGAGTTGAAGCCAACTTGATGGCACCTAAGAACCACCACCTCAAGTCTTAGACTGAGAGCACAGTTACAGGTACATATCCTATGCTCAATAATAGTTGAGGAATAATCATGAAGTCTTAATGAGAAGTCTACTCTTGAAGTAGAAATAATATAGTTTAAACTTTAAGTTAAAGTAGGTTTTATGGATACAAAATGCAAAATACCTCAGCAGGAAATACCAATCACTTAAAAAAAAAAAAGCCAAAAGGAAATCTAATTTGGCAAGACAGCTTCATGAGGTCACTGTTGTTCTAATGTATTAGAAAATAGTAAATCTAAACAAAAAAAGTCACCTTATTTTGAACTCTACCCTATTTCAGTCTTATAACAACAAATAATCTGAAATTATTAGATCTGATATTCAACCAGAAATTTATAAAGATTACAGTTTATTTATTAGACTACAGTTATTTATCAGGACCTCTGGTAACATAGTGCCTAAGGCACTTGACTGCTCACCAGAAGGCTGGCAGTTCAAACCCACCAGCCACTCCTCGGAAGGAAGGTTGGGCAATCCTACTTCCGTAGTGATACTGCCTCAGAAACCCAAGGAGGGGTCGCTATGAGTCAGGGCCAACTCGACGGCAAACAACAACAACAACAACACAGTTATTTATTAAACTACAGTTGTGACTTTTTTTTTTATTAGTCCTTTACCTTGATGAAGATAGCTGAATCTTGTTTTAATTCACAATAAATACAAGGACTGAAAACAAGGAAACAAAAAGCCTTTGAACAAGGTGCTTTCAGATATGTTTTAGAATTCAACGGATTAAAGAATAAATTATCTAAGAGATACACCTACTTTTTATGTTGAAGTTCTAACATAATTTTCAGTCTTCAGAGAAGGGTCCATCAGTGACTTAAGAGTAAATTTTGCGTACCAAGGGAAGGTTGTTTACTTGGAAAAATTAACAGGATCTTGACATCCAGTGCACAATCTTTAAGAGATGGATATTACCTCTTGTTGCCTTATTAAATCTACCAAAAGATGTATCAAATTAAATCAATAGATACTGATTTATCCACAACGGAGTATAGATTAGAAGAAATGACTGATAGTTCTGTCCCTTCCAATCTTCCAGTGATGTCTGTGTGATGATCTAAATCAGGGCTCATCAAACTATGGCCCATGTGCCAAATGTAATCCATCACCTATATTTTGTAGTTTTATTGGAACACAGCCACATTCATTTACTTACATATCATCTATACCAGTATTTGTGCTATAACAACAGAGCTGAATAGTTGTGACGGAGACCATATGGCCCACAATGCCTAAAATATTTACTATCTGACATTAAGAGACAATTTTCCTATTCTTAATCTAAATTATTTTATTTGGGAAAATTCCAGGCAATAAATAGAAGACCTATTTAAAGAAAAACATTAAGCCTAACCTCCCTATATATATAAATAGCTTGGGAGAAGGTGGGAGAAAAAATATATGTAGGTCTCAGAAACTAGGCAAAATAATAATTTTTCTGAAGCTTTATTTCTAGATATCAATATGATAAAGGGGCTGAGGGAGAAGAAACAGAAAGTGGAGAAGAGGAATCTGTGGTTCCTAATTCTTCTCTAATAGAAGCAGACTCTGGAGAAGTAAGCCCCAGCCCCACTTTCCACTTCTCATTGGCTTTGGAACCTTAGATTCAAACAGCCATCCAATACCCACTGTTTACCCTTTGGCTTTCAGAGAAAGAAGACAAATTTCTGCCATAAAAGATAAAGTACTTCCTAGACCTTAAGTCAAATCAACACCAAGAATGAGTCACCCACTTGTGGCTCCTAATTCTTAGGGTGGGGAAATAGAGAAATAGGGTGTCAGCAAGTGTTTCCAGTGTACTGTGGCCATGGGGATGGGTAACTTAGCATACAACTCTTTCAGTTGCAGATCCTAGAACTTCAAAATATCCTTAGAGTTTCATGCCCAAACCCATTTTCCTTTCCCTTCCCTAAGCTAATGCCCAATTCCCCACTCCCTGCTGTGCTTCTATGATCTTGAAAAGATTTAGTGACTTGCCTCACTTTTGAATAAATGAATATTCTTAAACCCTTCCCCCATAAATCTTTAATAACAGTTACCAAGAATTGACATGGCTGATTACACTGGATGCTGGGGCTTGGTTTGCTTTAGTTAGCTAGAAAAGAATCCTTTGTAATGACCTTGGACAAAAAGAATCTTATTGTTATATTGACAGTATGGATACAAGGTTACATCCTATGCCCAATGAGACTTAAGCAATAATCCCAAAGACCTATTGGAAAGGTCTATGCTTTGAACTGCTAATAAAATACCAGCCACTCAGTGGTGATAATGGCATGTTAAATCCACTTTATCCCATATTTTTAGGCTATTTCTTATAGTTCCATATCAAAAACATTCTTAATATTTCCATTAAGATTAATGATATTTCTGCACAAAGAGACAGCTGTGGGGGACAGGTGTGCATGGGAGAGAAGGACACAGGTAACTTAACTACTGGGAGGAAGTGGGAAGAGAGCTGTGTTACACTTTGGGGAATTCAAGCCAATGTCATGAAACAAAATGTGTATAAACTGCTGTATGGAAAATGAATTTGCTCTGTAAACTTCCACTCACATCACAATAAAAATTTAAAATAAAAAAAATAAAAGATTAATGATATTTCAGAGGCTTATGATGATTATTTTGTAGTTGCTTAGAATTCTGGGAATGCTAGAGCAAATTTTGAGTATAGTCAGCCCTCCATATTCATATCCTAAGGTTCCACATACACAGATTCAACTAATCACAGATCGAAAATATTCTAAAGAAAAAATGGCTCCTAAAAAGCAATTAAGTAGTCAAAGCAATCCCTCAAAGACCAAAAGAGACCATAAAGTACTATTCACATAGCAGTTCAGAAGGCTGGCAGTTCAAACCCACTAGCCACTCCACAGAAGGCAGACTGAGCAATCTGCTTCCATAAAGATTTATGACCTTGGAAACTCAAAGGGGGTCACTATGAGTAGGAATCGACTCCATAGTAGTGAGTTTGGTTTGGTTTGGTTTGGGTATTACAAGTAATCTAGAGATGGTTTAAACTATACAGGAGGATGAGAGTATGTTAGATGTGAATACTATGCCATTTTATATAAGAGACTTGAGCATCCATGAATTTTGGTATCTGTGGGGTTCCTGAAACTGACCCCCATGGATATTGAGGGACAACTGTATATAAAGCAATTTGCTACCGTCACTTGCTTTAAAGATATGGTGTGACGTTCCACCAGATGGCACCCTATCCACCCCAAAGGACTATGCAAGGACCAGAATTGAAAGCACTCTGTATTTGTTGATAACTAACACAGTGTCAGCCATGAAAACAAGGTTGGATTTATTCCATGGGCATCCCACGTTCTCTGGTCCTCACATATATTTATCTCGTTATCCATATGTATTGGATCATCAATACGAAAGCCAGAAAAGCTAGGTGATTTTCTTTGCCAACTTCTGTCATCATTAAGAGCAAATTATCTATCTCATTGTTAAGCTTTCATTTAATCATAGGTGATATTAGGTATGTTTTCACATAATTCTCATAAATAACATATTTATTCCTTCAGCAAATACCTATTACTGTGCCTACTATGCAGCCCACAATGATCCCCAGGCACACAGGACACAGCAGTAAATAAAGCAAAGTCCCTGCCCACAGGAATCCTTCATTCTGGTGAGGGAGAGAGACGTTAAGCAAATACACCAATAAACATAATTGCAATTAGTGGTAACTGCCATGAAGAAAATAAAGCAGAGTACATAGCTGTAGAGTTCCAGAGAAGACAATTCTAGTGAGAATGGTATGAAAAAGTACTTCTGAGGACACAGACCTGAGAAACCAAGATGAATAAGAGTAGGATGGAGAAAGAGGTGAGCAAGGCCATGAGGAGTT